GGCTTTTTGTTTTAAAAGCCTCGCTGGCTGCGCTTACGAGAGCACGGCCTCCTCGGTGCGCACATCCGGCTTGCCGTCCTCTACATCCTTCCCCTCTGGGAGGACGCCGGTTCCCTCCCATTCTTCTGTTCTGAGTCTAGCTTGTCCTCGCAGGATTCGGCCACCTCTCCCCGCCGGGGTCTACGCTTCCAGGGATCAGACAACAGGGGAAGGGGGTCCCCACTTCACTTCCCGAAAGAGGGGAAGCCCCAGTGCATATGAGCAGGCCCGGGACCCACGGCCACATCTGTGCGGACCCCCCTCCGCTCTTCTCCAGCTCTTCCAGCCACCCACCCACCCTGGCCTTCCAGATATTTCATGGAGGGTCCCAAGTCCCGGGGCCTCCTTGGCCCACTGGGACTTCTGCACCCAAATCTCCCAAGCCCCGTCTTCTGGGACCCCGGCAGCCCCTCTGGCCGCTACACCCTGAGGACCCTCACAGAACCGGCCCGAGGCCCCACAGTCCTGCCTCCGCTCTCCTTGGCGAGAAAACTGGGCAGAAACAGGAAGAGATGCCCCCGAGGGAGAGAAATCAACACGCACCCAGAAGGGACTGGCCTGGGAGCCGCCAGGGCAGGTGTGCCAGGGCAGGATGGATGCCTCCCACACCTCGCTGATGGCCAAGGCACCTGCCCGCTTTCAGGAAAGCATCCCAAGCGAGCCGCACTGCCGAGGGGACTTTCATTTTCCCCCCCAAAAATACGAAATTCTGCATCACAGGCGCCTGGTTCAGCTTTCACAGTGGATGCTTACTTCAGTGTGTGAATTCTCTTGTCTGCAAAATGGGCCAGCTTGGGAGGGAGGGAGGGATCCAGAATTAGAATCAAAAGTAAGAGTTTGGTCCGTGGGTATCGTGTGCGGTCAATCCGAGTTCCCCCGTGTGCCCCTCTCCCTGTGGGGCTGCGGGAAGGACAGAGAGAGGATTCCCTAGCTAAACACCTGGGCCTTCCGCAGTCCTATTTATATGTTGGTTTGTATTAAATTTAGAATCCTTTGCAGGCCACCTTTCTCCTGATGAGGAGACCATGTTGGCCGCTCACTCCATTAAAACAGGTAGCATTAAAAATACAATAAATGATGTATTGGAAAGGAATTAAACTGCAAGAAGTAAAAATATATGAAATGACTGAAACATTAAAAACACATTTACTAAGCTAAAAATCCACATACAGTACAAGACTCAATTATTAAAAGCCTGCCCAAAAAGGTGGGTCTTCAGCGGCCGGCAGAAGGATAAAAGGGGAGGGGGCCAGGCTGGTCTCCGGAGGGACAGCATCCCGTCACCTCCAGGAGTGGCCACCGAGAAGACCCTCCCTTGTGTTCCCATCCGTCGTGCCTACAGGAGGGCCTCCTCTTATCATCTTAAAGGCCGAAAAGGCTCATATGGGGGGGGGGGAAAGGATGGTCCTTCAAATAGCCTGGACCAAAGCTGTATGGGGCTTTATAGATCATATGACCAGCATTTTGAAATTGGGCCTGAAAATGGACTGGTAGCTGGCATATTTGTCGTAGCGGGGGCATCATACGCTCCCTATCACTGGTCCCAGTCTGGCCGCGGCATTTTGAACCGGCTGAAGTGTCCAAATTGTCTTTAAAGGCAGCCCCGCATACAATTACCACTTTAAAAAGAAGCAAGCTGTGATGCAAGGAAGTAATTGGAAAGAAATTAATTTCCCGCACCAGAACTCTCTTCCTTTCAAAATGTTAATCCTATCACATCACATGAAGACCCTGACAGGTTAATTTTTTTAAAAAAGGAATACTAAGAAGTCTGGTGCCAGGAAACTACTTCTGAACACTTTATATTACTGAGAAAGGTGACAATAAGTCTGAATTCTCAGTATTAAGTGAGGAATTTGGACATGAAATGGAGAGAACGGGGAAACAGGGGGAATAGAAAGGTAACCAACGAATAGGTGTATATAATATTTAAAAAAGACTGGGATAATCAAAACGTAGATGTGTTACAAATAGAAATTTGGAACGATTTATCTGGAACAGTTCATATTTGGCTTGTAGCCTTCGCAGAGATAAAGCTGCTTATCCTGATGTGTGAATAAAAGTGTGGGCCAGAGGAATCCTTGGCTGGATCCATCAGGGTTTTGCTTGCGTCAGCAAGAACAACAAACAGGGAGGGTTCAAGGCAGTGCAGATACAGTTGTGATTATGAGGGATACTGGGTATTTTGGGGTAGACAAAGGGCCTTGCTCCTCCTTCTGGTGTCTGAAGCGTTATTCCAGTTAGACAGAGGATGCTGATGGCTTGTGGGTTTGTCCCGAAAGCCTTCCTTCACCAGGGCAGCTGAGCCCTGTGGGAGCAAGAGGTTTCCCTGGCTGCTAAAAACCATTCTCTCTTTTTGCTCCTCGGAAGGTTCACTTTGCCCACGGACTCTGTCACCCACACTTCTCCGCATCATTCTTCCACTGCTCAATGTTTACAGTACTTACATCACCCTTCCTGTGAAGGAGAGTCCACCTACTTTCTCAATATCTTGTGAGGTTTACTCTAACTGCACTTTACTGGCACCGCATGCAAAGTTTTCCAGAAAACCAAAAGCTCCCTTCTACAGTCTGAGGCAGAGGGAGGTACCCCAGCCAGATATTTTGGACTACAACTCCCATTAGTCCCAGAAAACACAGGCAACGGTCAGGATCAATGGGCACTGGAGAGCACTCCATTGCCTTCAGGTGTCCTTCAGAGGTGGAGGAACTAAGGACAGTTCTCATCCAGGTGCTTGGAGGCAACATCCCACAGAAAGACCTTCTCTACACCATCCTGCGGGCGGCTCAGCCTGTGACGTCTTCCTTCCAGACTAAGGCAGCTTCCTCCTGGAACTGTTTAATAAGGGAGAAAGGAGCAGACGCAGTCTGGCAGAGAAGGGGCAGAACACATACTTTGCATGCAGAGAGGTGCCTGCTTGCTCCCTGACCTCTCCTCGGGGAGGAGGGCTAAGAAGGGTGGCGCTTGGAGTCAACCCTGGTCTGCCTTTTGGATCCATCCCCTGACTCTACATTAGGCACAAGATGCAGACAGCAGACAGGGCAGGCAGGGCAGGCTCTCCTTGCTTACAAGCCACTCTTAAAGGACCATGTACACAGAGCATACTGTATAAATAAAGAATAACAAAGGCATAACAGTGACCTATTTTACCCATTCAATTCAGGGCCACAACTAATGAGATTGCAAAGCATTATGCAGATTACAAGGCACAGCACAGTCCTTCTCTGTCCCATTTCCCCCTTCACGCCCTGTCCAGTTCCTTAAACCATGCTCAATTCCCTTTCATCCCCTCGCCCACCCCTTCCCCTGCCCCCCCTCCAGATCCTTATTACCCCCTCTGCTTTGGGCATACTCTCTACCAAGCTGAACCCTGCAGGCTTCTTCCACCCGGCAAAGCTTTTAATTAATTGCAATACACAACCAGGGAAAGAGGAAAGTCGGCCAGCAGGCTTTCTAGAAGCAACAGGCAGATCGCTTCTTTGGGAGAGCCAAAGATCATCTGGTGGCACGTGAGAAACTAACAAGGTTTATATGGCATAAGCTTGATCCGATAAACCTTCACAAAATGGGCTGCAGAACCAGGAGAGGTTTGCTAGTCCTCAAGGTTCTACACATCTATCAATTTTGTTGCCAGAGCACAACAGCTCCCCATCCCTGAAATTTCTGGGGAAATCACGGAATCCTATCGCGGAAAAACGATCCCACAAGTCCTCAAGTCCACCG